AAGCGCTTTTTCAAGACTGGCGGAAGTCTGTGCCTGCATTCGCAGTTTGTGTTGATCAGCCGGAAGTGGTTGAGAGTTCTAAGTACCACAGGAACCTGATCGCAACTGAATATGATGTCAAGGAGGAGATCACATCATGAATATCGAAATCTAGGCTGAATTTTATCAACCTGCTACACCTATGGCACCGCCAATGACATCCGACTGTCCTTAGGGAAAAAGTATCAATTGCCGCGGTTTGTAGTGTTCTGCTCTTCAGTTATGACACTCGTATACTCCGCATTGATGATATTAACCGACTTTCTGTATTCAATCACCGAAATTGCCAAAGAATTGCTTATGTTTAGTGTAAACATCGGGTGAACCGTGACAAGGTTTGGTGTGTTGTGCTGAATGCAGGTAGTCGCTCTCTAATAGAAGTGATCGCTCTACACTTCTCCCGATGGTTTGGCCACGTTTTGCGTATTCTGTTCATGATCAATCTTTATGTGCTAGAGAAGGCTATAAAAAACCTCGCGGCGGTCAGACCATGCCATGGTGTATCAGTATGAAGATACTAGCTTCAGCCATGGCTTTGGTTGGTTCAGTGGGCGTTCCAGGCTGCAGCCCGATAGGGCGCACTAGAGTCGCACTCTGGGAGCACTTTTGCTGGCAGGTTATCTTTGATATGATGTGAATAAAGTTTACTCACTTCACTTTGGGGTTCTCAGTTCGTCAAGATTGGCGTGGTTTCATGAAAATCTGCACATTTTCAACCGTGGTTGACTGAAGATCATATAGCATACTGATGGTTATCTGCCTTCTGATTAAATGTGATCAAACTAAATGCATTTTGTAAGGTTCTAGGAATTTTCACATGAAATTAAGAGGTGGGTTAATCGATCGGTGGATCCACCGATCAACGTTAAATTTAACGTTGATCCGTTATCCAGTTAGACTTGAAGTCTTGAAGTATTCCACGGGATAAGCCCAACGGTCCTGAATCTCGGAAAATTGTAGGTTTTTTTGATGGGACAAAGCCCTCTGAAAAGATGCTGAAAGCACGGGACCGCTGAGAATCTGTCGACTGGACCAAAATGTCTAACATCCTTCCATAAATGAATCCGAATGCGAATTTTAAATACTACTTGGTTTTCTCCGTACAATGTCATATATTGTCCGACAATTTTCCATGCATTATTCTCCATAAAATTAATGTAGTAGGCACACCACTTTTCACAACTGAGTAAGTGAAGATGGAGAAATGCAAGAAGTTCTTATAGATATCATCATCAGATACAACAAAAATTGTCTGAATTCCGTTGCCTCCGAGATCGCAAAATCGGATGTTGGTCGACGAATTCTTTGGAAACCACATGAGATGTGATCAAGCATCAATGTCAGCCCTTCTTCTGCACGTCGAGGTAGCGGACCTCCATTAGCAGTTCCCTGTGATCCAGAGTCACGCAGCCATAGTGTAAATAGCCACTTTGTTACACCCAAACAAACGCAATGCATATAGTCAATTGGGAACAACTGAAGCATGTCGACATTTAAGTGATACTTCTCCTGTCTTCTTGAGCGAAGGTTAACATGCGTTCATGGTGGTCTGGGAAACAGACGACTATTTTGACTGGATCTCTAAGCACTACAACGGCAACAACATTAAAAATCTGAGTGCTGTTTAATCTGTTTAAGAAAACTTTTGGCAGGGGAATCTGCTAAGACACTATTTAGCAGAATAGCCATTACTTGCCCAGTACTTCGCAAACGAATCGCATTGGACACTAATTTCCGAAACTCTTCGATGGTGCCAAACATATACTGAAGCATGTCACTTGGCTTAAATAAACCACAGGATAGTGCAATTAGAAAAACACGCGATGGCGGCTGGATTAACCGACCCATTATCCACTACAGTTGTCCGTGTGAATTGTGAAAGGGCGACACGCCATTGACATGTGGGTGGACAACGATTGTTCAACATTAGAGATATCTTCCAGCAAACGC